AACCATCCGCCCGCTCTCTACTGCAATTTACCCGGATCATATCGCCAGGATCCCTTCGCCCACTCATGCCCACACACACATACCCACTCTTCATATTTAATGCAGCACACTGACAGAGAGGTCAGGCCTGCAGAAGAAGAACCTTGACTTCCCACTGAGTCATATTGATTTTAGCCCACAGCTGAACACCAGTGATTTAGAGCTTCATAATATTTCCTGCTCAACTACTGAACGTATTTAAAAGTATAAACCAAACGTGCTCTCCAAATGTGAGCTTTGCTTTTTTCTTTCAACAATCAGGGAACCATCCCGATCCTTTTAACTTTGAAAAGATGAAAGTGTCCAACCACAACAGACCTGTGAAGTTTTGTAAGCTTCTTCTTTCCTCAGGGTCCCAACACCAGCCAGGTCAATCCCTCCTGCCTTTGAGTTAAAGACTGTTTGTTTGTGTTATTAAAATCAAAGAATCAGTCATGCCATTAGGAAAGTGTGTGTTTATTTCCCCCAGCCATTAGTGTTTCCCTCCACCCCCACTAGGTCATTCAAGACTCCACTCCTCCTCTGTAAAGAGCTGAATAATTACAGTCTGCATGGGCTCATAACACCTTACCACCCAACACAAGTTATTTTCTGCATGCTGGGATAGAGATAATTGCCAAACTGGTGGTACTTCACGGAGAGATTAGTTTACCGGCCAACACTGTTATCCAGCTGGTTCATTTAGCAAAAAAAACAAACTTTTGTAGGTTTTGTTTGGTTGATAGTTTTAGATGTTTAATTCAGGAGAATAAGGATTTACACAGAACCATGTTTGTCTTGAGAGTTGGCATTTCATCCTATCATCCGTCCTTGAATAATATTCTGTCAGGGTTAGGGCTGGGCGATAAACTGAAAATTTACTGATACCAAAATTTATAACAATAACGTCATTTTGCCCATTTCAATGTATTCTGTATCAAATAAATAAATAAATAGAAGTTGGTTCTGGATGTGTGTACGTAGGCGGTAGTCTCATGCCCCTTTAAGACACTGTCCTACGGTGGAGACGTGACTCCGCCCCACGAGGACGGTAACTTGTAGCGGCTGTAGCGGTGGGTGAAGTAGACAAAGTTAATGTGGGAGGGGTTGAACAGCTTGTGGAGTAGTTATCGTCTATTTATCGTTATCAAGGTGAACTGCTCGATATATCGTGATATTGATTTGAGGCTATATCGCGCAGCCCTAGTCAGGGTCCATTTTCAGCATTTAGCTTGTGTATATCTTTTGCAGATTATGAAAATATCACCTCATTTGTCATCTTTTCTTTTTGGCTTTCCAGCTTCAATAGTTGCAACAAAGTAAGGAGATTACATTGGGGAAGCTTAGAGAGTCTTTGTTAATGAACATTCCCCTCCGCTGATCATTTCCCTATAATACTTCTGTAGTCTAAGAGGATAATTCTAGGGTAGTAGGAGGAAGAAGCCAAGCAAGCAAGCAGGAAGGGGAGAGTTAGATAAAGTTTGATGCAGCTATTCACCTGAGAATTGGAGTTTGACTTTCAGATATTCTTGCAGCTTATCAGGGAAGCAAACATATGGGCAGAAAATCCACATTGAATAACCTCTAGGCTGAAACTCTGCTGGGGCTACCGCCTAAATTAAGGTTCTGTCCATTTGACCTTTTTAGGGGGTGATGGCTGCCAGCCTGAGCTGCAGAGGAGGAACTGAGGAAAGAGAAGATATATTGAAAACTTAACTCAGTTTGTTCCCAGAGCTGCGGATCGTGTTCAAACTCAAAACGAGCAGCTTTACAGGAACAAGGATCAGCTTCAGCACTTTGACCTGCTGCAAGGCTGGAAGACCCTGCTCTACGATGCATCATGTCCTTAAAGTCGCAAGGAATCACTCAATTCATTCTTGATGTGTGTTTCTTTGTACCTCCTGTGTCTATTTCTACCCCTTGTATCGAAACTTTCAAGATAATATATGTGTTGATGCCCCAGTTATTCTGGAAGTTTAGCAGGAAAACATGGGATGAGATTCCACAGGGACTAATTATTTGGCAAAAGTTGTTCCACCACCACTTTTTTTTGGCAACGTCTGATGGTTATCTGGGACACGGTTTCCTGAAAGAGACGCTGCTGTTCAGTTTTGAAAGTCATTTTTAGCAAACACGGTATAATATTCTGGTGAAAATCTTCATTGTATGATCTGAAATCTTGACAAATCAAATCAAAAGTATCCGACTGGCTTGACGTCAATAAATCTAAGTCTGCAGTGAGAGTAACTTCTCCTTCTTGATTCAGTTTGAGGACACATGAGGTCAAAAGAGAAAGCTCCACTACTTGATTTTTTAGGCTTTTATCAGCAGATAAGTAAACACACACATTTCCAGAGTGTTAATAGCACACATACATACTCTAACCCACCTCTCTGGACTCTGAGATTATAGAGGAGCCTTTTGCTCCCTGATCCTCACCATTACAAATTAACACCCCGGGAGAGAAATCAAAGGATTAGGGAAGAAAAAAAAGTCCAAAAGAGAGAGATTAGAGAGGAGAAGCTCTGATAAGAGGAAACGGTTATGGACCAGCAGTGAGATATAAACAGCTCACAGAGACAGACTACTGTTACCGCTGGGTCTGGGATGCACATTCTGCAGGAAGGAGCAAAGTTTACTTAAACACATGATAAAGCATTTAATTTAATTTCAACAGAATTCAGCGAATGCAAATTATGTCTTAGAGCTTAAAGGGATATTCCAGCGCAAGTTTAAGTCATGGTCAAACACACCATAACATCAAGTTAGACACCCCCTCGAGAGATGAATGTTGCAGACTGCTTGCTTCCCTTGTTACACCAACTTTAGCAAATACCGCACGATAGCAATACACAGCGGTCCATGTCTCTGCGTGCAAACCTCAACCAGAAAGCCACAAATAACGCTCAGAACAGCACCTAACTTCATCAACAGGACATATAGGGTCCCAGCCATAGTACTAGCCACCAAACATCTTTTTAACTTTGCCTAATTTCTTTAGCAAAAAGACCAACTCACTCACTCTCCTGATGAGTCGAACACCAAGTGCAGTGGAAAATTTATGATCGTTTCTTCATGGAAATGCAATGAGACTGAGACGCCAAGGCAGAAGAACTACCGTGTCTGCAGTGCAAAATGATTATTATAATGATTATTACTTCATGGAAATGATCCGCTGCACTCTGCCCCACAAACATTTTCCTTTAAAGAAACACTTCCCTACAGGGACATATAGAGCTGGGAGGACATTTGCATGACATGCTCTCGAGAAAGATGCCTGAACTATTATATTTAACCTTGCAGAGTAACTACCAGGTGTCAGTGCGTGTCGGTACAGCTTCACCTCACTTCACCTGCTGCAAAGTACGTCTGGTTAAAGAAAGGTCACAGCAGACTGAAAGAGACAAGTACAAAGTGCACAGAGGGAGAGAGCAGGATGCAGTGAAGGAGGGTGAAGAGGAGAGAGGAGGTTAGAGGAAAAAAGCAAAGACTTCTGGGGTTTGACTTGAGGAGATATCGTGGTAGGGAAGCGGGTAGTGTCAGCCGCAGGGTAGAAAAAAATGGAGAGGAATGAGGAGAGTAAGGTCGCAGCAGGGGGGCAGAGAGTGAGGAGACATGTAAGAAGGTGAGATAAGGGCGAGAGTGTGTCAGCAAGGAAAAGGAAACGACAGCATCTTCGTATCTGTGTCATCTTCTCTCTTCGTCTGGAGTGGCTGAATATGTGCGTCTGTGTGTTTGTGTGTACGCACACAGCGAGGTTCACACTTTTCCAGCGTGAGGTAAAGCGCGTGCTGTCACAGATAAGTGTCACTCAGCTGAACGTAAATCGAGAAGAAGTGATACGCACTCTCAGGTGTTGTGATTGTGCATGTTAAGGCGTGTGTGTGTGATTTTATGTGAGGACTCAGTGGGTGGGCATCAACTTCAATGTGAGATCTCACGCAAACCTTTCTCTTCCTCAAAGCACTTCTTTTCAGGGGATTTATCACAGTCCAAAACCAGATTTAATATTCAGCTCTGTTCGCAGGCCTAAAATCATATGTTAGTCATCAAAGAGTTAATGCATTTTCTCATTTGGTGTCTTTGGAAAGCAGCTACTCTTACCTTGTGCTGGTTTTATTTCTCCTTGATATAGATTGGCTACATATAACTAGAAATAAGGGAGAATCGTTGCAGAAGTCTGACCTTCAAAAGTACAAACTAAACCAAAAAAACAAGAGCTTTCCAGACTTCTCTTCAGCCCCCAGTTCCACACCTCCATCCCTCCATCCCTTCACCCAGCTCTCATCCAACTCCGGACTGACTGACAGCTGTCCCTGTGAGGCCTCATTTAAGTCAAAACTCACACAACCATTTGATCTGGCATTGAGACTTCTCGTCAGCTCTCCTGTGTTGTTGTGTTCTGACAGGTCGGTGCCAGCTTGTGGATGTGTGAAGGGCTGCAATGGTCAGAACTGAGATGCAGCCTCAGTGCACAGGTGTGGACTCTCCCGCGACAGCCTGCACATGTGCACCAAGTGATAAGAAAGACTTTATTCATTCACAGAGGCACAAGTTTCTCTGTGTTTGCACATTATGAGAATTAGTAAAAATTCAAGTCTTTGACCCAACAGGATATTTAGCTTCTGGACATGCCTCAGTCTGTTTTAGAGTTAGTAATTGCGCATGTAGAAATTCGGTTTTGGAGGGATGATCAAGACCTTGTTTCTTCTCATTTTCGTCAAAGAGCAGCTGCTGAGTCTGTGACTGTCCGGAAACTACAGTCACATTCGTCAGCTTTGTTTCGAGGTCCGTTGGAGGTCTTTAGAGCTGTTTGAGGCCCACAGTCCTGGGCGTGATGGCGTAATGCCGTGACAGTGGGCGCGTGACAAGAATAGATTTGACCTGTATCCTTTTTAGCATCACTACAAATTCAAACGGACCTTTAGCTCACTGCCAGAAAGGGCAGCGCTGGCACAGCTCCACATTATATCATGATGGATCTTTATTTAGCTGTGAACCAGACCTCCATCAAAGCAGATATTTTCTTTAGCCATCACTCTCTTTTTTTTGACCTGTGCAGAGAACAACAGACTTATAACTCTCAGCAAGAAGAAGGTGCAAGAAGATAGTGCAAGCCAACTTCCCCCTCTGAACCTTTCTCTGTCTTTTCCTCTTGTCCTCTTCCTCCCCCCTTCTGCTCTTCTCTGCTTTCTGGAGCCCTGAAGTCAGATTTCCGACTCGAAAAGTCGGACGATCCTCACCAACCCCGACAAGGTCATAATCCAAGATGGCATCGCAGTGCATCAACAGCAAAAAGTAACAGTTAAAGCTCTCGTAATGTATTATTTATTAGCACTTCTGTTTTGTTTTTGTGAAATTAAATAAGTGGTGTATGTTGTACTGTCCAATGTCTAACTGTGAACATGGTGCTATGGTGTTCGCAAGAGTAAAATACTGTCATGCAATGTTTATAACTGGTATCGCTAACAACAACTAACAACCGCTGACAATGGCTAACAATAGTTGACAACCGCTAACAACAACCGACAACGGCTAACAATAGTTGACAATCGCTAACAACAACTGACAACGGCTAACAATAGTTGACAACGGCTAACAACAACTGACAATGGCTAACAATAGTTGACAACCGCTAACAACAGCTGACAACGGCTAACAATAGTTGACAACGGCTAACAATAGTTGACAACCGCTAACAACAACTGACAATGGCTAACAATAGTTGACAACCGCTAGCAACAGCTGACAACGGCTAACAATAGTTGACAACGGCTAACAATAGTCGACATCCGCTAGCAACAGCTGACAACTGCTAACAATAGATGACGACTGCCAACAACAGCTGACAATGGCTAATGACAGCTGACAATTGTTAACAACAACGGCTAACAGCAGGTATCCATCTTGGTTTTTCGACTTGTTTACTGGATCACTATCTTCTCAGGTGTATCATTATTCCAAGCTCCAACTCCAAAGGTAACTGCAACACAGTATAAGTAGTTGTATTTTCATAAGTACACAAGGTCCTCTGCACATTTGTCCATATGAAACCCATATTCACAAACAAATGAGTCCCCACTTTCAAGCAAGCAAATTTATGATCTGACTGCCTGCGAAGGACAATGTTTATGCAACTTATCAAGGTTCTTGTCAGAATACTGAAAGGCTTCAGAAGCTTTTCTTTAACTGTGCTATTATTAAGTGAACACAAATGTTTACCTTGCTCTTGAAAGCACAGAAAGCCTCAAGCAGAATCCTCTAAAATGTCAAACCTGTAAGTTATTGCAGCACTCTGGTGTCTCAGAGAGCTGATGATTCAACTAAGCTTTTCTATACTTGTAGAAATCTTCCCTGATGGTTAATTTCTCCCTTATCATCCTCCTTCTCTACTTTGTCCTGCAGGTGTAGCAGAGGTGATAGTCCTGGTCGGAGGGCGTCAAACGATCGGGATGAACCAGCGCTCCCTGACAGCGGTCACCTGTTTCAACCCCCAGAACAGTAAGTGGTACCCGCTGGCCAGCCTGCCCTTCTATGACCGAGACTTCTTCAGTGTCATCTCAGCCGGAGACAACATCTACCGGTCAGGTGAGCTGAATATACTGGGGGACGATTGTAGCTTTACTGTTCGGCAATAAGATAACTTTTATTCTGTTCAAAGAGTGATTTTTGCAAAAAAAAAAGTCTGTTCTACTTTCTTTGGTCCTGACCTTTTTTCGCTGTCACTGCAGTGTTGTTCAGTTCATTTAGCTCCATACTGACTCACTGTGCTCTCTGTGACTTCCTCGATGAAACACCTTGAAGTTGTCTCTCCAGAGATAGACTGAATTCCTCCCTCTGTGGAGACAGTGCTCAAACCTTGACATTGCACTGTGGAAATACAGCAGGATTTATCCTGTGTGTACCTGTCCTCTCCCTCTTTTCATATAAATGTAAATTTGTGTTTTGGGCATTGGAGCAGGTCTGCATGTGTCCGCTGGGAGTCAAGACAACCAGAGCAGAAGTCAGAGGTGTTCTAGTCAGCCAGTCAAGAAGTGCCAGTGTTGGCTGGTGTTAAAAAAAATTACAGGGAGCTGAAACAAACACAGTTTAGATGGTTGTTTGATTCACTTGCCACACGGCTCTGTCAGCTCTTTGTTTGAGTTCTCCCTCAGTTTTAAAACTTCTGAGGGAAGTGTATGTGTGATAGAAAGCTCTACATGATTGGAGGACTGGGTGACTAGTGACGGGAAGAACAGTTCTTTTGACTGTACCTAATCTTTAGAATACGTTCATTAAAATGATTCATTCAAAAGATTCCTTCACGAAATCAGTCAGTGATTCGGAGCCCCGTCCTGCTGGGTGTAGTACACAAGTGAGTGACACAGCAGCGCAGATCAGAAGTTTGTTAGTTGAACAGGCCCCTCCCCTCCCCTGATGCTGAAGTCACAGCTTCGTTCAATGGATGACACATGTCGTTCATTTGTCAAGTCATGAAGAAAGAATCACTCTTGTGCCCTGAAAAACTCACTTCTGTGTGTGCAACCGACGTTTGCAACACGGCACGAGTGAAGCAACACAGCTGCAAGCAGCATGCCTGCTAAAAGAGCGTGAATCTTCGTTTTTATGTATCACAGATAAGTGGCGAGACTCACAGTGAACGAACCGGTGCTCAGAAGTTCGTGAACGTCGCTACGCTCCTCCCTCCTCTGCCTGCCTCAAGTCGTTCGGGAGTCGTTCATTTCATTTACTGTCTGTATGAAACATGTCGTTCATTCTCTGTGAGCAAATCACAAGACTCCGCCTGCCCACTCACTCGCTGGCTCGCTGTGCGTCGTTCACCAAAGAGTCACATGCGGCAGTTCCACTCCTGACGGGCACACCAAGCTCGCGGCTGAGCTCAACTGAACTGAGAAAGGAACGAATCAGTTTTTGGAGTGATTCCATTCACGTTGTTCCGTTCTTTCGAATGAATCGTTCATGAACAACACAACACTAAGTGGGACTGTCAGGGACCTGGACTACATGGAGAGGTGGGAGTCATACAGCATCGTCAACAGCAGCAGCAGCTCCCAGCTGGTGACACACACAGCTATAACCTCGATCTGACAGCCATCTCAGCAAGTAGGGGTGACTCTGCAGAAAGAAATCTAGTTTGCACAAATAAATATTCACTCTGCGGTAAATATAGCAGGTGGTGTGTCATGCGGGGATGCGATGCAGCAGCTTGTAAAAGTGATTGGACAGGTTGGTTAGCATTTTCAGAGAGCGGGAAAAGGGGAGTGAATCCGAGCCGGGTGTGAGTGTCCTTGTGCAGCGACGGTTGGAGCACTTGTGTTTGTGAGTGAGAGCTTTTGCTTCCAGAGAGCAGAGGGACCAACTCTCTGATTGCACCCACTTCATGTAAAGGTCGTCCTCTGTGGCCTGTTCTGTGGGAACTCCTCAGACAGTTTCCCCCATGGAGTACAATGAACTCCTACTCACTTAAAGCATGAATAGACATTGTTCTGAGTTATACCTCTTGACTTTTATCACTCTGCTTTTCATTTCTCCTCACTCCTCTAACCTGAGCTGAGAAGCGAGTTTCAGCAGAGAGACTTCCTCCTCATGCACGGCAAAGGACGACAAGCCAAATTTGTTTAAAATGTCTTACTTGACTACTCTTCATTTTCCCCCAGACAGGGTGTATCAATGAAGACTTAGTTTGCATTTACCTTTATGTAAAGAAGAATATCTTGCTTCCGATGAAAAGTAAAGACGGTGGAAGCTTTTATTGGAAAAGAGCAGTTATTTGTCGAGTCTCTGAGGCGAAACTAAAGCGCGGTGTTATGCATCATTTACAATAAAAGTTTTGTCAGACTATACTTGTTTGAATACAGCTATCATCCTCTGACATTATATCAAATAAATGGTATTCATAAAGAGTGAAGGAGCACTGATACTTTGTAGCCTAGCTCGGCAGATAAAACAGCAGTTTGTCTTCAAAGACTCAAACATTAACTTTTATCTGATACCTTTTTTTAATATATAAAATCTTTATCAGAGACACTTCTTCCAGCTATATAACCTTACAAAGTCTTCTTAACCTTAAAAATGCCCCTGCTCCCACACACAGCTGCCTGGTATTTGCTTCCGACTTTGAAACAAACAAAAAACAGAATATTTTAACTAAACATTAAAGCTCCTTTGTTCATTTCTTCTCATCTGCTTTGATAAATGAGCCCAGCTCATGACCAATCCTTCATTTTAAGTTTGGTAGGTGTGTCTCTGCTCTAAGACTCAGCAGGCCTGGCTCCAGCTCAGCCCTTTAGGTCCAAAACTCTAAAGATGATGGGGACTCCAGCAGGGAGGCAGCCAGTCCACAGCAGGACTAAACCCTGACCGGAGAAGATAAGGAAGCTGTTACTAAATCCCCTTTTTTTGCCACTTCCCCCAGGAGGAAGAGCTGCACAGATCTCAAGCACTTTGTGACAGATAGAGGAGATGATATGCAGGAATCATTAGTCAGTGAGGGTGAATGGTTGCCTCATTTGAAGTGCGCATGGTCGCTGGGGTTGTGTTTGAAGGCTGGGAAACAGCATGAAATGTGATCTGGGTAAATTGATTACACACATGGAAACATTTTTTCAGCCTGCATTTCTTTGTGTCCTGCAAAACTATGTCTAGATACACCTTTATGTCTCTGTTTATTGTTTATTTTGATGCCTGCATACATCAGCCATCTTCAGCCAGGGCTCTTCTCCTTCCTGCAGTTTGACTCCTAATTTGCAGTCCTTCCTATTCCCATCACTCAATCCATCTCTCCATCCATCTCTCTGGGGGTTTCACGCTTCTAGCTGTGAAATTCACCCACACTCGCAATTACGTCTTCATTCAGAGCCGTCCAAAAGCCAGTTGGATGCTGCCTTTTCTTTGGGAACAACAGGAGGTCCGAATCAGCGCTCAAAGGAGTCAGCGAGCTCATTTATGTCTCTGCTCTCCTCGCTGATGACTGACAGATTTTTAGGGACGGGGAGCGGCTGAGTTCAGGAGGCTTTGAACTTGTAATTGGGTACTCTGGGCCTCAGCATGTTTATTCTTTGGCAAAACTCGACGTGATTGCGGATATTGAATAATTCATGGATATCTAATGATGTGTCAATCACAGATGGTTTTGTTTTATTTATCGGGCACTATAACCAGGTTTATGCGTCCTTCAGGCTCCATTGCACGTTAATATTGCATGAAGACCGTTTGTGATATGACGCTCGATATACCCATCAGCTTTTCTTATCAGGGATGTTGAGTTGTTTGGTTAACAAGTCTGGAGGCGAGAGGAACAGTTAGCAAAGATCACGTTCTCAGGGTCGTTTATGGCTTTTCAAAATAAAATGACCTTTTGGACTGCAGTACGTCAGTAATTGCGGCTGTAATACACCTAATTGGGAGCTCTATTGTTCAGGTTAATTAACTAACTAAGTGTCCCTGCTCTTTACAGTTACTGTATGTGCTCTTGTAAAGGCACCCAATGCCAATTTCTGCTTTTTTTCAACCTTCATGGAGGTTTTCACCTTGCTCTGACAAAATGCCATTATCCTTTTCTTACTGCTTCATTTGCATGTTTGTGATAAATTCAACAGATAAGTGCAACTTGATGTGAACTTGAACCTGGTTCCCTATACTCAAGCTTAAATACAGGCCCATTATTAACCAAAGACAAAAGAAAGTTTGCAGCGTTGTCGCTTAGGTTTTGTTTCTGTACTCAGTAACAATGGAACCAGCTATATAAGCTCCCTCTGTGCAGCAATAATCAAATTTTTCTCTCACATTTTTCATCCTCTGCGAGTAAGTGTGTAGCTGGGTGGATCTGTCCGTCTTGTATGGGGTCATAATGATCCTGGAGCTAGTTCAGGAGGTAGGGAAAGGTTGGCAAACCGGGTAAGACACTGTAGTCGTGGACAACAGGCTCCCAGACCCCCTGCTGAGCTGATCCCCGCTTGTCAGGATTAACCAACCTCACTGGGCTGCTCCCTATTGTGCTGTCGAGGCACCATTAAAGCCTCCAGCTCGATCTCAGCACCACTCTCCTCAGTCTCTTTCTTTCATCTCAAGAAAAGGAAAGCAAGGATGTCTGCGAAGGCATATGTAACCCTGCTATGAATATAAAAATCTCTCATCTCCAGTCCTCTGCCTCCTACCTCTTATTCCTCTTGTCCCATGAGAAAACTGTCATGAATTTAGGGATGTGTGTGAACAAGCAAAAAGTTTTGGGTAAAATGTTCAGAACTCTGCAGCAGCTTTGCCCCTAAAATTGTCCAAAGTTGCACACCTGAATAAGATCTATCTTTAACTAATCATATCCTTAAGGGGTTAGGACAAGATCATCACATCTCTCCTACATACAAAATATCCTCCTCTCAATCTCGCCCATTTCCCCTGTTTTCTTATTCTATCCACCGTCTCTCCTCTCCTGCACCTTCTGTCCCGCTGTCCCCCTCGTCTCCTCGCAGTCCTGATTAGGTGGGCAGGACTTGATGGGTGTATTTTGGGGCCTGAAAGGCAAAGGCGGTGTCTCCTCTTCCTTATCTTCTAATGGGTGCTGAGGTCTCTGAAATATGGAGGAGGAGGATGCCAAGAGTGTGTGTGTGCGTGTGTGCATGTGTGTGTGTGACAGTTAGAGAAACATTGGCGAGCAGCAGCAGCGGTGCCTGAGGACGGTATTAGTGAAAGGCAGAGAGAGGCTGCAGGTAATGAGCAGTATGAGCTCCATGTGCTTCTCTTTCATTGATTAATGATGAGCTGGACTTTGAACAATTTCCGGCTTTCACCAGCAGGCAGATCATTTTTCTCTCTCTCTTTCTTTCAGCTTTTGTGCTTTTTTCTACCCTCTTTTTTTCTCTCTTTCAACTTCCATTTCTCTGTCCAGATCACAAAGCCAGTTTTACACATTTGAAACATACTGTATATCTCATCCTCTCTTGTATAGGGCTGCAATCCAGTTTTCCATACAGCCAGCCTGCAGCAGCCAATTATCAGAGGTTAAAAATTGACAGATACAGCAGAAATTGCAGGACGCCAGCTTGCAGACCCCCATGAGGAAGCAACTTCTGAGCACAGACCATCTCAATACCCAGACACCTACACATAGGGACAGCACTGACTCTGGTGGATGGAGGTTGAGTTTTCTTTTACAGCTTATTCGACTGAGATTAAGTTTTTCTTGTGCAGACACAGTGCTATACCTACAAACATGGAAATCAGCTCTCTGTGGGCCCATTAAAGGATCTAATTCCTCTCTTACTGAAGACGCTGCATGCTCAAAGCATGAATGTCTGAATGCAGGATGTTCTGAATAAATGGAAGCCAAGGTTTTCCCTATATGAATAATTTTCAAATGATTTCCAGACATGCTAGCAGCATAGCCTAAGGATGGAAGTGTCTGTCGGCTGGTCCCAGCTTAATGTATTGTTGGCGCTAATTAGCTAATGTTCCATGCAAACTAACAAACATAGATTACGCTAATGGAGCCAAGGGCACAGAATACTCACAAAAACACAAATGGAAAGTAAAGACAGTCCAGATCTACCTTTTACAAGCGCATAATCTTATTAGTCAGTGTCTTGTTCACATTGTCTTTTATCTGGATCTCATCCAAAGACGCCCAATGAGAAAGATCCAAAGCTCTGCAGAGATGAATGCATTGTAGCTCCAAACAAAAGTTCCTCAGTCTAATTGCTTTAATTGCACATAATAGTCAGTCTTATTCTATACCTCTAAACCCTGCTAACAATATTAGCATTTTTCTTTGAGTTTGATCCAGTGATAACTGGCTGCAAAGTATTGCCAAGTGCTGCTAGTAGTTCATTATAGATCCTCATAGTGGATTTGACTACTAAAGCTGGGTTATGACCAGAGGTGGGCACAGTTGGTCCAAAATTTTGCTTGTTCACTAGTAATCTGTTTGCACATCTGTTTAACTTTAATAACAGCTAATTTGTTAATTCTGATCAAAATGAACTAGAGCTTTATTCCAGGGTCTTATGACAGTAGTGGATCAAGTGTGTCCACGGGAGGTCAGTTTAGGTCCACACACAGAAGTAACGAAAGGTTCTCAACATGCAACTTGTTGGTGAGCTCGCCTCCTTGTATCAGGACAAGAAAGTTTGCTATTGATGCAGTTTACTCAGAGCCGGCCAAAAGCATAAGTGAATTAAGCGCCTGCTAAGGGCCCCGCAGCTAATAGGGGGCCCCCAAGAGCAATCAAAATTTATATGCATATATATATATATTTTTAATGATTTTTTGCATGTGTGAGTGATGCTTTCTGTATGATCAAATATATATTATTGTAATAACAAAATAAAATGAAGTAAAAACCTGTTTAGTGCTGCCGATATGTCAATATGTCACAATCTGCGGGGCGAAAACAATGTCGTAAAAAAGGATATATCCTTCAGGTGCATGTCATGGAATGTTAATCAAAGAGATTTGTGAAGGTGTGTGAATGATCAACAATCAATATTATTGGCAGAAATAGAGGGCCCCAAAATCAAATTTTGCTTAGGGCCCCATTGAGGCTTGGGCTGGCTCTGAGTTAACTACAAAGTGTATATCTGAAAACTAAAAAAGAATAATTTTCCAATAATTTTCTTGATTTTCTGTGTTTTTCCCTGTCCTGCTTTATTACCAAAAGATAACAGAGAATTTGATATAAAGGCCTGCCTCTAATAAAAGCCTGTCTCATATGGCCACAAGGCCTGGCACCTGAGGCAATAAAAACAAAAAAACATGGCCTATATTTGAGTATAATTTGATTATAATCTCTTAGAACTGTAACAAAAGAGGTGTTTTTATTTCAACACATTTTCCACACTGTTAGAAATCCTACACTAGATTCTAACAAGTTGGCACATGATGGATTCTCACTGCAAAGAGCTGTCAAAGTACTTTTCAATAACAGGGAATTATTATATCAAATTGTAGCTCTTCGTTGTTGCAGGCAACATTCAGAGCAGCAGGCCTCAGAGAGAAACCCAGGGTCAAAAAAAAGTGTCTGAATTCAAAATGTTTCCTGACAAGAAGTTGATCTCATGTCATTAAAGCAGCAGCATGGAGGCACTTCCCTCAGCTCTGCAGCCCAGAAACTTCCTCTCTGTTATTAGAGGTTCTTCAGAGCAAGAGTACTGTGAGCAAAATTATGATTATGTAACGTGTGTGTGTGCGCTGGAAGCTGAGTGAAATTCAAGAGCTGACAGAGCAGCTTGCGGGGGAAAAAGGAGAGAAAAGTCTGGTTAGGAAGTATGTATACAAGGAGTAACAGGTGCACACAACCTCCCCTGCTCTTATGCTATGAAACCGGGCCGACAGTAACTTTTGTGAGCCAGTGGGAAATGCTTCTGGATCTCCAAGTCTCTTATCCTTCTCTGCATCTCTCTCAGTCTCATCCACTGACATACATACAGCTGTGAGTGTTTCCTCTGACTGTGCATGTGTGTCTCCCCTCTGCATGAACCATCTCCCGCATGAACTGCAAATGGGTTTCACAAACACTTATCAGGACCGACTCCCTTCCTCCCACAGAGACAGAAATAATGTATCGCGCCCAAAATAGTCCTTTTCAACACGTCTGTTGAGGTGTGTGGTGCCTCTGCAGACCTGCTCGTCTGTGTCTTCAATAAATCCGTCTGCTAAGCAGCATATGTCCTGAAACATGGGTGTAAATAAGCCTCCTCACATACAGTTTACTTCTTGTGAAGCCTCAGCACCTCTGCCTCCACATTTATGAGATCAACATGTTTATGTTGACGCCATGCGATGATGACTGTTGTTATGGAGTCTTTACAGGAAAGAGCTCTTATCAAGATCAGCACAGTAAACAGCGCTGCAACAGTTGAGGGCTTTGTGTTGTGTTGTTTGTGCTGTTCTTGCAGGTTTCATAGATCCAGATATGAGCAGTGTTGATGCAGGAATCAGATAGGAAAGGAAGTGAGGCAACAATGAAGTGTTTGTTTAGACAGCAGCTACAAACTGTGTGTGTTTTGTGTGCACTTGCTTTAATTTGCTACCCGCCTCTGACCTCAGCCTGAGGAGGTCCAAACTTTGTGACTCAGTTATTTTATCAGAGAGTCTCTGTGGGCTCATGTTGCCCAACAGGCACAGCTGTACTATTATCATCAAATTATTATAACCTTGTTTTCTGTTTGTTTTCCTCTTTTTCATCATTATTATTGCTGAATGTGGTCTGTTGTTAACCTTATTTTAACCCTAGAGCCTCAAACTAGGGCTGGGCGATATGACCTCAAATCAATATCACTATTTAATGAGCAGTTCACCTCGATAACGATAAATGGAGGATAACTACTCCACAAGCTGCTCACCCCCTCCCAAATGAATGTCGTCTACTTCAGCCGCAAGACGACGGTTATTGTCGTAAATTTCTGTATCGGTAAATTTTCAGGTTTATTGCCCAGCCCTACCTCAAACCTAGACAATTATAAGGCTACGTTCACACTGCAGGTTATAATGCACAATTTGGATTTTTTGTTAAATCCAATCTTTTTGTGTGGTCGTTCACATTACAACAATGAATGTGGCATCTAATGTGAACGGAATGCATCCGTGAAGTGACCCGCATGCGCACACATTTCTTTCCGCGCCTGTTTGTGTTGTCGAACAATGGTGACGTTTGTTGCATATTGATGACGTATAGGTCGGATGACGTGACCTGAGCGTCCACACTGCAGCCACATCGGATACATATCTAATTTCTTTCCACATACAAAAGAGGCCTGGGTAGGATTTGAAAAAATCAGAATTGCACTGTTCACACTTACATGAAAAAATCAGATATTTGTCACATATGGTTAAAAAATCGGAATTGACCTGCAGTGTGAACATGGCCTTAGATTCTCCCTTGAATAATGAATCATTAGCTCGATCTTTATTTATATGGCACCAATTCACAACAAGTCTTATCCCCAAAAAAAGCTGTCCCAAGTCCCATCTCATCTTTGGAGCCGTGATATTTATCATGCAAGTGTCAGATGAAAGCATAATAGAGTGCTGTTCATTAAGAGTTTCAGTGTGCAGGGCAGCAGGAGCCCCTCTCACCTCCACAGGTGATCTGTTAATTAAAAATGTCAGACTCCTCTCAGCAGCTGGGGGACAGAGAAAGGAGGAGGACTCCCCACAACATAATGAGCCTTTAGAGCCTTTCGTTGCCATTATTAAAGCATCAGAAACGACTCCTCCTGTTTCCCGCTACAAACGAGGGATACCTGTGCACTATGGCAGCAAACAAGGAGGGCGGCTGCTCCCAGCAGAGTGTCTGTTCATCATTCATGCTGCTTGTAAATTGGCCAGCTGTGGTCTGCTGAGGGAAAATTACTGACTTTAAAATCTACCTCCTCTTCCTCCGCAGCGAGGCTGCTGTCAAAAGCTGCAGGTGTCCAGTGGTTGTGCATAAGCCACAGCTCTAATTTTACAGAGCTATTTCCTGCATCAGATTGAATTATGCAGAATGTACTATACACATGTTCCTGGTACATCCATACTTTTCTTAATTTTTGGGCACCAAGCACAGAGAGTGCAAGAACGCTGTTATGTCCACTATGCTTATTCTATCTTCTTTGCAATCCTATTTCTTGACAATAGTAAATTGCATATTTAGAGTTGTACATCAAAAGCTCATGAAATTTTGCATGCATATCAAGCCTGGTGAAAAAATTATGAAAGAGGATTAGGGCCACAAGAAGAGAAAAAAAAACAATTACAGGAGGAAGATTTTTTAATTTCCATTTCGAGATTTAAGTCCGAATGTAAAAGTCAAAATTTCAACTTTATTCATGTTGTCTTTACTCTCGAAATTTTTATATCTCAAAATGTAATTTTATTAATCTCAGAATTTCAACATTATTCACGACATTTCAACATTTTTTATCTCAAAATTTAAACTTTAATTTTGAGATTTCAATTTTTAATCTAGAAATTTCAACTTTGTTGACATAAATTAGATTTTTAATCGCAAAATTTTAACTTTAATCTCGAAATTTCGACTTAAATCTCAAAATTTAATTTTTTTTAATTTTGTAATTTCAACATTATTCATGACATGTCAACATTTTGGCAATCTCAAAATTTCGACTTTAGTCTCAAGATTTTAATTTTTGATCTCGAAATTTCGACTTTTATCTCCCTCCTGTATTTTTTTTTCTCTTCCTGTGGCCCTAACCCCCTTTGCATAAAAATTTGATGTTGCTTTTGTGTTTTCTTTGTAAATCTTTGGACAGGCTAAAAGGGTGTGAAGACTCATATGCTCTTGCAGTGAGTCTGAATGGTTTGATTCCATCTTGGAAGGAGCCTACACATCATCTATGATCCAAAGGTAACCACATGGTAGTTAATGTGGACTATATAGGCTGTGTTAAAGTAGTTGACATCACCTCGTTTTGAAACTGGAACCAATCAGTAAGTCTCCAAAACCCACATTTATTTTATTCTGATAGACAGCAGCAGGGATTATAAAGAATGCCCGTCATGCTGATAGGAAAAAAGCATCCTCCAGAAAAGCAGTGACTGCATAATCTAATCATCTTTAGCTTTTTAATTCTGCTCTAAAAGAAAACAAATTCCACTTGCTTTTTACAATTTGCGGACACAACATAGCAGAAAAAAGGGAGAAAAAATGAATATTAACAGCAGCAGAATCACATCCTAATATTCCACTCAGCGTGAACCACTGAGGTGTGCAGTTTGCAGAATAATGAACCCGCTGATTTTAGGGCCTGAGACATTTTTAGATTTTTTTGCAGTAGCCGAGAAAGAAAGAAGCAAACAATTACAGCCTGTAAACTCACGCTGAACGTGCAACATAAATCATGCTGTCATAGTTATTGGGTAGCTGAGCCAGCCCTCACCAGGCAGCTGTTCTGTGGCATTTAACTAAGTCTGACTCACAGAGGGGAGGGAGGGCAGTGCACACAGCACAGGATCAAAACATGAAAACATGTAATACGCAGGAAAAAGCACTTTTCTCTCCTGTGCGTAAGGATGATGTCTAGCAGAGTCATCATGCAGGAGAGCTGCATCTCTAGACTTTGCCCTGTGAACTCCCTGCTTTGGATCCCCTCATGTCTGCCCCCCCAAAGAATATAAACAGTTTATAGATTTTTGTCTCATCTGACTTCATCTTATTGCAAATGACAATTAGAGCCACACTCCTGCTGCTGTGAGTCACAGCTTTCCGATATCAAATCCACTTTGGACTTTACTCTTTGGCTGCTGCAGGGTTGATTTGAGCTGCGCTCAGGAACTCATTACTGCCTGTAGTAGGAGTTAGATCTATATACAGTCCTACGGGCTTATCTTAATAGTATTAATAGACATCATTTAGGATGCAATCAGCTAAATAACAACCGTCATTAAAGGCCATACCTAAATTAAGAGAAAATGAATGTAGACTCCTGTTTATCAGAAAGATGTGGAGGTGAAAGAAATTTTCTAGTCTGCCCTGAAAGAGACTATGGATAATCAAAATACCTCAATAATTCCTGTCTGCTCTTGCAGCACTGTGATCCTGAATGGGAAGATCTTCACCACAGGAAGCATCATGTCGCCCTGGGCAACAAAGAGACATTTGACCCTTGCTTTGACACACTAACGCTCCAACAGAACCTTCAAAATTGCCCACCCTTACAGTAAAAATAAACAATTGCACAACCTGGTACAGGAATATTGTCTGCCTCTTTGGCTCTTAAGATATAAAGATGGGGGTTTGGCGTTGTTAGTAAGGCCCATCTCTACTTCACCTCTTTGACGCTTTCAGCCAGATATTCCTAGATGCCTGCACCTTGCACTATTTTCAGTAACATAAGATTTTAGTTGTTTGCAAACCTTAAAAAGCTTTTTTTTAGTGTCCATTTTTTTGGAATTGTAAGAATACATCTGAGTTCAACATTGTGTCTTAGAGTGAGTGCTCTTGAATCTTAGCCTCATTGAGACCACTCTGACTGCTTCATTCATACAAACCTGTTCCAGCAAAAAAGACTCAATCTGTTGTTGAAATCTCTTTGATTCTCACCCACACACCAGAAAAACTGGTACTTCAGAGAAACCATCTTGAAAAAAAGAGTGGACACCTGTTGATGATTTATGTGCATGTGATTTTACCACTTTATTTTTAACATCCTTTTATCGCAGCCCTAAAACTGTTAGCACCAGGTCACAAAGGTTCAAAATCTGAATGTATAAATGTTGGAAAATGAAGCTTGCATAAAAGTCACTGATGAGGAAACTCCCCTGAAAGAGCCGGTGTTCAGACACACTGATGGTATAACACTTCTCTGTTTGCAGTGTCTCGCTCTAAATTTCTAATAAACTCATTGCTTTGTTGCTCTGCACCTCTGATGTGAAGTCTATCCGCCTGAAGCCTGATCACCTTTTTATCTGTGAAAAACAGGAGACAGTCTATGAAGGTTTCTGCACTGACACCCTCATTTTTAAATGACTTTATCCAACTATCATGATACCAGACCTGCAGAGCTCTGTTTCTCTACAGCATTTCTTCACATTCGTCCATCTGGTTTTAAGTAAGGTGCAGACCAAGCCGAACCAAGCTAGGACAGACAGATTAAAAGTATCAACCTTGGATTAACTGTTCAGTTTGATGGATAATAAGGAGGTAACCTGCTGCGTGATGTGTGCTAGGAAACACAGGCAAACAAAACACGTGCCAACAAGCTGGCATCCCTGCTCTACAATCACTAATTTTAGTCTTGTGGGATAAAATGAACCAAAGCACCTGGCACCACCTGGCTGACTGTTTGCACCCCCTCTTTCTCTGCTGCCTCCTCTCTCTGACATCCTGACAGCCAGTCCTGGCTACCAGCACCAGGATGCTGCCAGTTCTGGCCAGCTGTCTGCGCTGACATCTACAGCAGCAGCAGATGACCAGATGGGATTCCGGGAAAATACACTGCAGCTATTTTTGAGAGGAACATTGTAAAGAGATCTCGACAATAAAACATGAAAAAAAAAAGACGTAACATTCACTCTTCTTTACCACCATGTCCAGAATACAAAATACAAACCACATTAATTATAAAATACCTGAAACATTGGGAGCTATCATTAGGACATATCTACATTTACATGTGTCCATATAAAAGTGTTTGGAGAAACTATAATGAGCCAGACAGTGTTGAATAAGTGCTCACACCGGCTAATAGGTAATGTTGGTTCATGGAGATGAAGTGTTTGGAGGTCAGCTGTGTTCAAAAGTAATTAATATCAGATTGACAGTTAATTAAGGCGAATCATAATAAGAGAGTTTACATTTCACTGCTACTTTAAATACAACACTCTGGACAGTCCCTTTAACTGACCCGTACCCCGTGTTTTACTAAAGCAGAGTCTGTATGTGCGCGTGTGTGTCTATTCAAACAAAGAGGTACTTTGATAAAAAGAAGGTCACAGCAGAGCTACACAGAGAATTTCACATCATAACACATACAGTATATAAGATGGGTGCACCCTCTCTTCTTTTCCATCTCCTTATTCTTACGTTTAATGAACAGCACACTCTTCAATTGCCCTTCAACCCTATTTTTTCACCACTTTTCCCTCTGATACATTTTCGGTTCTTGTATTTTCTCTCCCTCTATTCTCTTGAATTATTTTCCCTCTGCACCCCTCAGCTTCTGTCATTTTGATCGGGAGCTCTGTGACACTGTGGGATAAATGGTGAGTGTGTGTAACACAGGGCTCAGTGATTGAATTGCACACAAAGGGGTAGTAATCCCACGTGTTAAAGACGGCTGCTGACATGGACCATTTAACCTTAAACCCCTCTGAACTCCCTGTTCATCTTCCTCTCCTCCATCTGTACTCAAGATGCTTTCTGCGCTTACCTCTCTCTCTACACACATAATTGTTGACACAGCAGACAGGACAAGTACACTATTCATTTTATAAACTGAAGTACTATGCAAGCCGGATTGTTAGATTGCCCTTCAAATATCAGTAGAATGTCATTGTAATCTCATCGACCAACCCTACGGTGTTTAAAAAAAACTCAAACAGATGAAATCCCAAAATGTTGCTAGTCATACAAACTTCATTGCACTTTTCGGTAACTCTTTATTGACGCCCATCTCTAAAACGCATTATAAATATATGTATAATGCGTTTTAATCATGTTCTAGCACTGTATAAACACTCATAAATGATCACAATGCTTTATAGCAGTGATGAAAACACATTATAAAGCATTTTATCATGACTTACAAGGTCAGGTATTATAATGTGTTATAACTGTTAACAACAGTTGCATTGCATTATCTATGTGGGCATTGTCTGTGAGTTGTTAACATTTATAACACATTATAATACCTGACCATGTAAGTCATGATAAAGTGTTTTATAATGGGTTATGATTATTGCTATAAAGCATTATGATCATTTATGAGTGTTTATAACTATAGTTAAACAGTGCTATAACGTGATTATAACGCATTATACATAGATTCATAATGCGTTATACAGATAGGCGTCAAATAAATTGTTATCCAGTTTTCGTCTTTACTCATGAGACATAAAAATGTTGCTTTCTTATGTTTAATCTAACACCACTCTGTGTTTTAAGTATGTTACAAATAAAACTCTTATAGCCTGTGAATCGTGCACAAAGACTGGCAGTTAATATTATACAGTGAAGAGTCCCACTTGATCACTAAGAGACACAAGTCCAGTCGTGGGTCACACCATTAAACCTCCGAAATCAGCCTCTAAAAGAAGAACCCTCCCCTGTTTTTTCTGATTCACCTCACTGTTTTTTCTCATCTCCAGCATAGAACCGAGTAATTCGGATTTTCCTGTTCCCATAAATGCCATGACTGCCTTTTTGATGGTGGATGTGACGCTGGTGGATGGTGATTTGCTGAGGCGAAGAAAATCAAGTTTTAGTGACATAATGTGGCTCACAGAGCACTCAGTCACACAGGTAATGCAGTTGAGATAGTGTTATGACGAATCACATTAAGATGGACTCAGCGCATTAAATGAAATGATCTCTACCTCTGCTGTGCAAAGAAATATCCACACTGAGGTTATTAACGCCTCTGAAGTATGAAAAAGGTGTAGACCGCTTCTTGTGCGCTCTGCCAGGTCTAATTTGGACTTCATATTCATCTTATGAATAAACTAAATGTATTATTTCATTACAGTAGTGTTACGTTTTCAAGTGCTTTAATACGCCAGCATAAAAACACTGTTGAACTGCAGGAAGTAGGGCTGGGCGATATGGCCTCAATTCAATATCATAATATATTGAGCAGTTCAACTCAATAAAATACATGGATGATAACTACTCCATAAGCTGCTCACTCCCTCCTACAATAACTATCAACTTCAGGCGTGACAACTTTTGAACCGTCCTCCATCTCCTCACCTGTCTTTCCCTCTTTGTTACAGACTGGATGGGGAGGAGTCACGTCTCCGATGTAGAGCGGCATCTTAAAGAGACATGAGACCGTTGCCTACCTACACGCAAACCAACTTTTATTTTTTATTTTTTATGACACAAAATGTATGGATATAGGCAAAATGATGTTGGTTATTGTCATAAATTACAGAATCGGTTAATTTTCGGTTTATCGCTCAGCCCTAGATGTAAGTGCATGAAATAAAAAGTCAAACATTAAGGTTTTATACTGAAAAATATAACAGTATTCAAATATTTAAAGACTGTTTCCTGAACCTAAGCAATAAAAAGTCAATCCTAATTCAATAATCAGCATTTAACCTGCTATTTCTGATTATACCAAAGCCAGAGAAGGTATCAGATGAGAGCCAGGTCCAAGTTTTCTTCCAGTTTCTCTTTTTGGTAACAAAAACTAGGGCCCTGATGTCAAAATCTTTCCTATTCTGTGTGTGAGCTTGTTATCACTCTAATTTCCAAAATATGATTATCAGCTTTGGCCTCAAAATTCCAGCAACTGTCCAAAACAAACCAACTACTTAGCACTGCAGTGAAAATGTGAAACATAAAGTTAGCTCAGGACAACAAACCACTTCTGATCGAGTTTAAAAGTTCAGACTGCATCCCCTGAGTGAGCCAAATATGGGCATAAACAGTTGAAGTTCTCCAGCCGTGTGGAGGCAATGATCAGGTATTCAGTCCTGCTCTGAAATCATGAACAAGGTGATTTTGTTGTTGTAGCTCAGGCCATATAGACCCAAAAGAAACTCCAAATATTCATAATAAACTGCAGAGAGTCATAAAGTCGGACTTTACTTTCTAACCTTAATTTGGCACTCACGTTCAAGCGATGATAAATGATCTAGCCTGTTCAGTAAGGAATAAACAAGTCATGAGAAAATATCTGGGGTAAGAAGGCTGCAGGAGAGGATGTGAATATTTTATGGATTCAAGGCAGCAGAGATCCAAAACACCGGCTAATAATGCAGGAGAAACCCACGCCTGTAAACAAATAAAAACCAAACGTGCCTCTGCTCAGGCCTGAAAATCCACCTGATGCAGAGATTAAGTCAAAATAATGCACTGAAAGCAAAAACAACAAAGACAAATGAAAAGTTAAGTTTGGTGAAAGTAAAAGGAACCGAGTACAGTAGAGCAAACACGGTGTGCGTATTGGAAACATGCTGACCAAGCTCTGTTGCACATTATGTAAATGTGTTTTCACCATACACCTAAAGTGAATAGATCTGAGTAAGAGCAGCTATTTAGAGCCAGGCGGTATATTTTTGTTGTAAGTACACATTCAAAGGATTCAAATAATAGGACTTTAACAATGTTTTTATCATGTGACCCTTTTGAAAGTCCATTTTAAGTGAAATCATAGGTGAGACGTTAGCGGGCTGGAAAGCAAAGTATGTAGTAGTTCCTTTTTTATGAGTGGGATGCATTAAGGTGTTATCATTGCAAAAGGGTGTCATAAATCATCTAAAAGGCTTGGCAGAAGAGCAATTACTTCAGCATATCAAGAAAGCAGAGTGGGTTTATACTGCAAGCTGTTTACACCGCTGCCTCTCACATTCAGGCTCGGCTATGCGAGTGAAAACGGCCGCATTGTCAAAGCCATCACTGAGATTGAATGGAAATAAAAGCAGCTTTCTGTTTTTACTGCAAATCAAAACCGGGTCCAGCACTGCTATTAAGCCGTTCACTTCTTCAGCTGATATATGCATGATGGCCACTTTGCCGGAGAGCCTCCTGCTGTTCGTAGGAGTGAAAATGAAGAGAATAAATGAAAGCAGACCATTTCTGTTGACAGGCTAAAACAGGAGATCCTAAAATACTGTAATGGCTGAACATGAAGGGGGAAGACTTCGTACAGAGAGCGAGAAAGCAGAAACACTCGCTCCTCGTAAGCAGCTGCTCCAGAAAAGAGCAGAGTAGGCGATAATCTGTGTGTTCTCTGTCAAATAGAGGGAAAATTTGCCAGGCCAGATTTCGTCAGCATCACTTCTTCCACTCCATCTGTGGACAAGTGTCTGATTACTGATGAAAGCAAACAGCTGACTATCAGAAACATTAGGGAGCAGCAAGACAGACAAGCCTGAGGACAGAGTTATTCCTATAGAGATTTTGATCATTTAGTAACAAGCCACACTGCAGTCAGTGTTTCAGGGCAATTTTGTCAAGTGTATCAGAGCATTAACTGACTGTAGAAACTATCTCTGTCCTACAGGCTGTGAGTCTGTGAACAAACTTGATACACTCTGATGGTGTTTCATTACAGACAGATTTAAAGTCTTCAAGTTAAAAAGTTAAAAAATTGTGAGCTCTCAACAGTCAATGAATGCTTCTGATGGAGCAGTACACCACCCACTTCAGGCCAAAATACACATCAGACAGCCTGCCAGCCTCGGCCCTGTGAGCAAACACCGACTCCTCCTGCTTATTTAACATTGAATTTCTTCTGTCGGACAGGAATGAAAACAAAATCATTCACAGTGAACTTTTTTCACAATATGCTTCTTTGAGATATCCCTTCTCCCCTCTCCAACAAATAAACCTCCACATTAGTTCTGTGTGCGGTTCTTCATTGGGGCAGCCAGCTGAGGCACTCAGATCAAGCCAACTGAAAAGCCTGTCAATCACTTTGAATGAGAGAGTCAAGTTCAGGAAGACAGAGCACATACCCTGCTGTCTTCATCACACTCAGGGGGGACACGGGTAAAAGCCACCAGATAATAGCTTGGTAGCTGGATGTCACTTTGGAGCACAAAGGAAAGAAGTACACTCGTGTCAGAAGACACTTCTTTTACATCAATTACACCACAGGGCGCCCTAGAGCCAAACACCCCCCACCTGATCAGTGAGAAGTGCTGTCAGGGGAACCCACTGAACCAAGGCTTCAATTTACACTCGGGGTATTAGCCGGGACCCCAGTGTGACTGTGCAAAGCACATTGGAGCTGCTCCACTTGCTCTTTTTTTGCTTTGACACATGCTGGTGGACGCAGTGACGTGAGGAGAAGCTCATGTTTGAGTCATAAACTGCAGAAAACAACACCTGTTGATCGAGAGATGTGAACATAGTCTGTTACTGTAATTGGGGCTCAAATGTACAGTTATAAAGTGAAGAGAGGAGAGACAATGTGACATGACTAAAGTGTGAATGGAAAAGGCAAAATAAGCCTGAGCAGTCAGAGTTATCCATGTGAGGAGGAGAGAGTGACAGCATCAGCTCACATGAAGCTTAAAGCTGGTTACCCATGGCTGAGTTTCCTCTTCCTCCATGCTGAAGCCCCATTTCATGAAGATTTTCAATGTATGTGCCGACTTCTTAGGCCCAGTTTTAACAATAGCAGACGTCTTATTATCCAGACACCATTTCTGTTCTGACATTTTCTATTTTTAGAAGCTATAGAAAGGATGAAGGACAAAGCCACGGCATAACGCCTGAAGCCGTGTTTCTAAGATGAGCAGCATACAGCACGTGGCAGCCCGGGCCGAAAATGGAAAAAGCCAGTGGAGCTAACTCTTCTGGCTCACTAAAGATAACATGAATAGTCGGCTCTCAAATGAAGCAGGGCTGAGCTGAATGTGATGGTCAGTGCAATTTTTCACGCCATTCTAGCCGACGGAAACGCCGGGACTGGTTCTTTCTGAAGCTTTTGCATAAATGTCAGCGCATGAAAAGCAAATCAAAGGAAGTATAAGTGATCAATTTAGAGAGGAGGAATAAAGAACAGCTGTTTTCTTTTACAGAGAGGATGAGAGGGCGCTGGAAACGCCATCATCCATACTGCTCATGCATTTAAACAAGCACCCTTATGACCTCAAATAACACAAGGAGCACACTGGAAACACTTTTTGACTAGAGCTAGCAAGTAAGGTCAAACTTTTTCTATGTTTGTTCTGTACTTTTGCAACTCTGGGGATAGTATTGTACTCGTTATCACAGCAAAACTAGCATGGTTATCACTAGATGACAGCTGGAATTATCTTAGCGGAGTTAAAAGAGTGTACATAAATGTTCACTTCATGAGTTACTGGATATTCCTCAAACTGTGCAACACTGACATACTCCTCTTTTGTATTCTGGATTAATGATGTTGCATTATTCATGCATTCTCTTTTTTAAAAGCTAAACAGGAGAGCTGGATGATAATCAAACTCTGATTTCTCATCTTAATTAGAAGGCGAAGCGCCGACTGGATGTCTCAAACTGAGTGCATTTTGTTAACATGCTTAATTGCTTATCAAGTTATACGATCAAATAATCAGCAAGTTAAAATGGAAAGAACAAAGTGAAAATGGGTGAAAACCCCCACCTGCCCCTTCTCACTCCCCTGAGATGCACTTTTAAGTCAGAACGACTGAAAAACAACAGAAAAACCAAACTTGCTCACAGCTTGTGATAAAACCTGCAGAAGTGAAGGTATGCACATGTGCCTACCCGGTGTCCCAAAACTAATTAACACCATCGCTTGAAAATCCCTTTGAATCCAGGTAAAATTTTGCAGAGAGAGGAAGATAAATCTGCGTTTTCAAGTGAAGTAACTAAAGCTAGATCATAGTAAACTTTGAGTCCAGATTCATTGCTGCTCCTGAGCTTGTCTGCTCTCACTTCTATCCTCTATCTCATTATGAGGTTGTTTCAATCGAATTCTGCTTGTCTAGCCTCCATTTCCTCCTCTTCTGTCTCTTTCTTAAAGCCTTTTTTCTTACAAACAACATCCTGCTCTCAAGTTGGTCGGTGGAGAAATCTGCTGCTTCATACTATCTGTAATAATGAGGGTGAGAAGTGTTTGTAGATCCGTTTCCAGAAAGCCCATAAAGGGAAACTTTGATGCACCCCATGCCTACAGCATTATACAATATTATGTGCTATTCATTAATATAAAAGGCCCCTGACACTCAGAGGGCCATAAAAACATAATGTGTCTCCATCGAAGGCAGCAGGAGTATTGTGGGTCTTTGATCTCAATATTACATTACCGTTAGAACTGACCTATGGTTACTGTGTTCTAGGGCTGGGCAATATGGCCTCAATTCAATATCACAATATATTGAACAGTTCATGTCGATAACGATAAATGGACAATAACTACTCCCCAAGCTGCTCACCTCCTCCCACATTAACTTTGTCTACTTCAGCCGCTACAACTTTTAAACCGTCCTCTATCTCCTCACCTGTCTTTCCGTCTCGTCCCGTCCAGGGACTGGATGGGGTGGAGTCACATCTCCCACATAGGATTGCATCTTAAAGTGACATGAGACCATTAGCCTACCTACACACATCCCAACCAACTTTTATTTATTTATATTTTTGCCATAATTTAATGTCGTAGATTTCAGTATCGGTAAATTTTCGGTTTATCACCAAGCCCTACTGTATTCCTCATCTATTCAGTCTGTGACGGTTCCCTGGTGTCTAATGTATGCTTTTCCCTCTGTCAAGCAGGAGGTTACCAGGGGGCGGTCCGATCGGTTAGTGAGGTTGGCAGCACCTGGGCCCGGTGTCTCCCAACCTATAAATACCCCGCCTTCTCCACCAGTTCGCTCTCTCCTTCCCTCCGGGCGGATGGCTTTGTCTTTTGTTTTACGCATCCAACACCCTAACACACATTACACCCCGTATTCACTCATGCATGCACGCACCTACACAGCTGATCTACTGATCCTCACACCCCATGACTTGTTTGTGTTCACCTCCTAAGTTGCTGTTATACTGTTTTCTTAATAAATTCATTACGTTTACGTTAACTAGTGCATCTTCCGTTGTTTTTGTCGCGGCTGAGGAGCCTGGTCGTGACAAAAGTGGGGGCTCGTCCGTCTTGATTAGGTCCGTTTCGCGTTGAATGGTAAGCTAAGTAGTAGTAGCATTGGTGGGCCTGATTTTTGTGAATGGAAAGTGACGTAGTGGGTGACGTCACTAGCTTGTTGTGAGGGTTTCTCTTGGGGTTTTTCCGGCTTGCAGCGTGTCTTGTCTTTGTACACTGCGGCAGGAATCGGGAGATGCAAATGAGTTATGTATTTTGGGGTATTTGTTTAAATAAGTAATTTGTTTCGCGGGATAGAAGGGGAGGTTTTTGTTTGGGTGTGGGTGTAAAAATGGTAACGATGTAAAGTAGGTGCTGTCGGCTGTGTGTTAAGGCATCGGAAAGACTAAACGTGTGTTTTCCCCCTGTGAGGCTCAGAGGCGTTATCCCTTTGGATTTCGACCTGTTTATTGTTTTAGTAGTGCTGCGGAGACCGTGGTTGGAGCATTGCGCTCGGGAGCACGTCCGTGGTTCAGGAGGAGTCGCCAGCTAGTGGTTGCTTTTTCCTAGCCATTGGGTTTTAGTGCATAAATACCCGCCGCCAGTAACTGCATGAAGACTAGGTGAGTTAAGGTAGGTAGATTTTGGGTTAGGTAGTGAGTTAGAGGGGGGGGACACTCGTGGGCGTTTGATAACTGTGCCTTTGTTTTGTGCCGGGTTTGGCTGCACTGTGCATTACGTTGATTACACCACACACACACCCACACTGGTAAGCGGAGATGGCAAGTGTGGAGGAATTTTTTGTTTCCCCGTCAGAGGAGTTTTTAGAGCAGTGCACGAGAGAGCAGTTGTTGAAAATAGCAGAGCACTACAAAGTTGATGTGGGTGACAAACGTTTAAAGGACAGAGTAAGGGCAGTATTAATTTCAACTTTGTTTGAGAGAAAAGTTTTGACCGAAGAACCGCCAGTTGTTTCTCCAGTCGCCCAGTTGCTTCCGCCCTCAGTAGCAGTGGGGCTTACATTTGACCAGCAGAAGGAGCTGCTTCTGTTGCAGCTGGAACATGACAAGTGTAAGCAGAAAGCGGAGCTGGAGAAAGAACTGGCTGTGGAGAGGATGCGTCAGCAAACGGAGCAGGCCAAATTGGAATTTGAGCATTCTAAATTGGCACTGATTAAAGAGGGAAAGCTGATGGCTACGGGTGAGTTGGCCAATGATTCTGTTTTGGGTCAGTCCACCGATAGTTTTGATGTGTTGGGCAATTTGCGTTTTTTGCCAAAATTTTGTGAGAAAGATCCTGAATCATTTTTTTCTTTGTTTGAACGGGTCGCTGATGCACGTAAATGGTCGGATGAGGTGCGCACGCTATTATTACAGTGTGTGTTCACAGGCAGAGCACAGGAGGCCTGCTCAGCATTAACAGGGGAGGAAAGTCGTAAGTACTCTCAGGTGAAATTGGCAGTTCTAAGGGCTTATGAATTAGTCCCAGAAGCCTATAGGCAGCGATTTAGAGCTTGGAAAAAGGGAGAAAGGCAGAGTCACTTAGAATTTGCACGCGATTTGGCTACCCATTTTACGCGCTGGTGCGCTGCGGCGAGTGTGGATGATTTTGATGGTCTCTGTGAGCTTATCATATTGGAGCAGTTTAAAAATTCACTGCCGGTGCGAGTGGCAACCTACCTCAGTGAACGAAAAGCTAGAAACGCGACTGAGGCGGCGGCTCTCGCAGATGATTATGTGTTAACTCATCGGAATAGTTTTAGTGAGCCCCGGCTGGGCAGTGTAAACAGGGAGTCATTCGGCCGACCCCTTAAACACTTTCCAAGTGATAAACAGAGTGGCAGTCACCTAGGTGATTCGGACAAACTTTGTAATTACTGTCACAAACGCGGACACTGGAAAGCAGACTGTCAATGGCTGCGGTCTAAATCTAAGAGCACTTTTGGGGATCATGCGAAAGGGGTCGCTTTGGCTGTGCCCGCGCGTCAGTTCGTCACTTCTGAGGTTGTGCATGATACAGATTCTTGTCCGGAGATGGATTCGTACCGACCGTTCATCACCGAGGGGTTTGTGTCTATGGTAGGAAGCGATACTAAGGTGCCGGTGACTATTCTGAGGGACACGGGAGCGTTCGATTCATTCATCAGGGTAGGAGTTTTGCCTTTGTCGAAAGACACAGAGACGGGGAGCTCTGTTCCTGTCCGGGGAATGGATCTCAGCGTCCTGTGGGTCCCAGTACATAACGTAACGCTTCAGTGTGATTTGTTTCAGGGGGAGGCTGGTCTCGCGCTGCGCCCGGCGTTGCCTATTCCAGGTGTGTCGGTTATTCTCGGAAACGATTTGTTAGGGGCGAGAGTCTGGGCAGGGGTATCACAACCCGTCGTGGTGGCGCCGACACCGTTGGCGAGATTGAAGCCGGATGAAAATGAACGTGATTTTCCGGAGATTTTTTCAGCCTGCGCCGTTACGCGTGCTATGGTGGCCGCAAAGTCCGAGGTTGACACAGATAAAGAGGGTGTCCGTGAAAGATTTGCATTGCCCCTGTCTGACTTTCCTCTGTCCATATCTCGCAGTGACCTAGTGGCCGAGCAGCAGTCTGATCCCTCCCTGAAGAAGCTGTTTGACCAGGTTCGACCGGCGAGTGAGGTGTGGGACAGTGCTTCCGGTTATTTTTGCCACGACTCTTTATTGGTGAGAAAGTGGGTACACAGCGCGAACGTAGTGGGGGACCCAGTGGTCCAAATAGTTTTGCCAGTAAAGCTGCGGGAGTGTGTGTTGAAAGTTGCTCATGATGAGTCAGGTCATTCTGGAGTAAGAAAAACTTATGACCGACTCCTGAGACACTTCTTTTGGCCTCGTATGAAGAGGGATGTCGCGACTTTCATTAAAACATGTCATACATGCCAGTTAACTGACAAACCCAATCAAACGTTGAAACCTGCGCCTCTGTGTCCCATACCCGCAGTCGGACAGCCTTTTGAGCACTTGATTGTTGATTGTGTCGGTCCATTGCCCCGCTCTAAATCTGGTGCGAATTATCTTTTGACTATAATGTGCCAGAGCACCCGGTACCCTGCTGTGTATCCCCTGCGTACAATAACTACAAGGTCTGTGGTACGGGCGCTCTCCCAGTTTATATCTGTGTTTGGCATCCCAAAGGTGATTCAGTCAGATCGAGGGTCTAACTTCTCCTCTCAAATGTTCCAGCAGGTGCTGAAACAGCTGCGAGTCTGGCATAACCAGAGCTCTGCCTATCACGCTCAAAGTCAGGGAGCGTTGGAGCGCTTCCACCAGACTCTTAAGTCCCTTTTGCGCGCGTATTGCACGGAGCTGGGTAGAGACTGGGAGGACGGGTTGCCCTGGTTAATGCTTGCAGCAAGGGAGGTGACACAGGAGAGTACAGGGTTTAGCCCGAATGAGCTTGTCTTCGCACACACTGTCAGAGGTCCATTGGCTGCGCTGTCTAGCGGCTGGGTAGAGTCACAACCTCCAAAGAATTTAATTGATTACGTCAATGGCTTTAGGCACAGGCTGTACACTGCAGGGGTATTGGCCAAGGAGAAGCTGGAGTCAGCTCAGGGCAAGATGAAGCATCTATATGACAGGGGGGCTGAGCGCCGTGTTTTTAGTCCTGGGGACCAAGTGCTGGCTTTGCTTCCAATCGTCACTTCACCATTCCAGGCAAAATTTACTGGGCCGCATACAGTGTTGGAACAAATTTCAGAGCTTAACTACGTGATTTCAACACCGGGTCGTAGGAAACCGACTCAAATGTGCCATGTAAATTTGCTCAAGCCGTACTACGCGCGCCCCTCGGAGACAGTTGCCGTTGACCCGCAGCCAAGTGTTCAGATCCATGCAGTGTGCGCGGTGGCCCCAGTGGTGTGTTCTAATCCTAGTCATTCGGAGTCTGATGACGAATTAAATATGCCTGACTCGGCTCTGTTACATGGGCGGCTTAAAAATTCTGAGGCTATGGCCCGGTTGGATAACCTGTTTCCACATTTAACAGAATCGCGCCGAGCAGAGTTGATCCAGGTGATCCGAGGTTTTCCGGACCTCTTCAGTGATACACCCGGTCGCACTCACTTAATTGAACATGACATAGATGTGGGGGATGCTGCGCCCATCAAACAAAGATTTTATCGAGTAAATGCAGATCGTCGTAAACATTTGGATGCCGAGGTTGATTACATGCTGGAGAATGGGATTGCGGAACCCTGCTCTTCCAGTTGGTCATCTCCCTGCTTGCTCGTTCCAAAGTCTGACAACACGCCCCGTTTCTGTTCAGATTTTCGTAAAGTTAACAACGTTACAAAGCCTGACTCTTTTCCATTTCCCAGGATGGACGATTGTATAGATCAGGTTGGTTCAGCAGCGTTCGTCAGTAAATTTGATCTGTTAAAGGGATATTGGCAGGTGCCCTTGACGCCGCGTGCGCGTGAGATAGCCTCTTTTGTGACACCAGCCGGTCTGTATTCCTATACAGTGATGCCCTTTGGCCTTAGAAATGCGCCTGCTACCTTTCAGCGTCTTATGAACCGCGTCATTGGGGACATGCAGGGCTGTGCGGTTTATCTAGACGACGTAGTGGTGTATTCGGATACGTGGGAAGAACATCTGGAGCGTATCCGGGAACTGTTCACTCGTTTGGCGGAGGCAAGGCTCACGGTTAACTTCGCAAAGTGTGAGTTTGCCAGAGCAACCGTTACATACTTGGGCCGTGTGGTTGGGCAGGGCCAGGTGCGGCCCGTAGATGCTAAAGTTCAGGCGGTGAAACAGTTCCCCGTTCCGGCAACGAAAAAAGAACTTATGCGCTTTCTTGGTCTCGTCGGCTACTACAGGGGGTTCTGTAGAAATTTTTCAACAGTCGTAGCACCATTAACTGATCTGTTGAAAGGAAAGGCGAAATATATTTGGACTCCGGCTTGCGACAAAGCGTTCGTACAGGTAAAAGAGCTGCTTTGCTCTGCTCCTGTCCTGTCTGCCCCGCGTTTTGACAAGCCGTTTCAACTCTATGTAGATGCCAGTCACGCTGGAGCAGGAGCTGTCCTCATGCAGACGGATGATTTGGGAATCGATAAACCTGTTAGTTTCTTTTCCAAGAAATTTAACCCGTGTCAGTTAAATTACGCGGTTATCGAAAAAGAAGCACTTGCGTTAATTTTGGCTTTAAAACATTTCGACGTTTATGTTGGTGGCAGCGGTGCCCCTACCATCGTGTACACTGACCACAACCCTCTAACTTTTCTTAACTCCTTGCAGTGTCCCAACCAGCGGCTGGTCAGGTGGTCGCTGTTCCTGCAGTCGTACTCTCTGGACATTCGCTATGTGAAGGGGGCCGAGAACGTGGTGGCAGACGCGTTGTCTCGGGCTCCCCCGCGTGGCGACTGTGCCTAACTGTTTCCCTTTTGGTTCTACTCTTGCCTCCTCTCAATCTCTTAAATTGCTTCCTAGGTGCACCGGTTGCTGGGGTGGGGAGTTTGGGTTAAGGGATGTTGGACCAACGAAACAGTCTGGTACCTGGACTTGTAGTGTTCCACTGTGCTCACGGTGCCTGTAAGGATGTAATGTATGTTGGGTTTGGGTTGTTTTTTAGACTAGCACTTTAAATAAAAAAAAAAAAAAAAAAAGTTGACTGGATACGGTTGCACTGATATGGTGTTACTGTGGGGTATTGTGTTTATGTTGGTCTGTTTGCTTAGGTTTGTTTAATCCCGGGATTCCCTTCAGGACCCCGTTCTTGTGGGGGTGGGTGTGACGGTTCCCTGGTGTCTAATGTATGCTTTTCCCTCTGTCAAGCAGGAGGTTACCAGGGGGCGGTCCGATCGGTTAGTGAGGTTGGCAGCACCTGGGCCCGGTGTCTCCCAACCTATAAATACCCCGCCTTCTCCACCAGTTCGCTCTCTCCTTCCCTCCGGGCGGATGGCTTTGTCTTTTGTTTTACGCATCCAACACCCTAACACACATTACACCCCGTATTCACTCATGCATGCACGCACCTACACAGCTGATCTACTGATCCTCACACCCCATGACTTGTTTGTGTTCACCTCCTAAGTTGCTGTTATACTGTTTTCTTAATAAATTCATTACGTTTACGTTAACTAGTGCATCTTCCGTTGTTTTTGTCGCGGCTGAGGAGCCTGGTCGTGACAAGTCATACACTGTTTACTTAAAGTACATCATGAACAGGGTCTGTTTACACGTATCACATGTTCACAAGCTCAAATACAACAATAGCAACATCATATCACAATTTTGGAGGGGATTCATGCCAGACCATTTATAAGTCAGGAGAAGTAACACTCTGAATTTCCCCATTCATTGGTTGCCAGGCAACTGGTGTCACCCCCCCTTAAAAAAAAAATGCTGAAAAAGACAAAAGCACGCTATAAATGAACTCCACTAAAATGATCATATATTTGCAGACTTCCCGACAAAAGCGCTCGGATCAGACTAACTCAGCACTCAGCTGAAAAGTATTAATGTCATTGTGCCTTCCTGTCGTTGTTATTGTCAAAGCCAGCTCTCTTCATGCATTATAAAAGCTGATGTCAGTATTTTTAAAATCAGCATCTGGCTGAAGCAGATGCTCTACGCTGAAGCACTGTAAAAACATCAGAGCCTTAACCTTTACCCAACAGTTACAGGTGCAAATCTGACATTTTGTTCTTCTCACATTTGCAAAATATGAAGTAGCACTCTTATAATAATTGTGACTCTGAGAGCGATAATTGCATTTTTGTAATATGGTGTTAAAACTACTATCATGACAAGTGGTAAAAAATGGAAATCATGCAACAAGTGCTTCCCTTTAGATGAATATTGGTAATGTGTGTGTTACCATGTGCTAATGAACAATCTGTACTTGCCTCCTCAGACTTCTTGCAGTCTAATTTTCAGACTAATAAACTAGTCTCACCTGCAGTTGTAACATAAAAACACTGAAAGATGCATCGAGAAAAACAAGTATTAAATTTGTTTAAAGAGTTTAAGATAGTTTGCAAAATATCGAGGAAAAAAAAACAAAGGTCAAGATACAGGAGACACAGAGAGCCGTGGAGGTTGTCATGGTGATACAGGGCTTCAGGGTCCGAAAGAAATAAAGAAAGCAGTTTGTCACCCAGTGTGAGACTTCACTCTGACACTTGATGAAATGTCCTGATCGATAAATGATCCCAGTCTTGCTCCTGGTCATGAAGGACATCAGTCACTTCCACTGCTGAGCTGCTTCCTTTTCCTTTCCCCGTGATTTTTCCCCTGAAGGCCTGCAGAGCCACTCTGTACCTGGTGGAAAGGAGTAGACCAACATTTTCTGGAAATGCAAGTCTACTTGATTATCAACTGTGAGATAAGGATCAATCCCAATTTTGCAACTGTACACTTTACATAAAGCCACAGTATTTTAGCTTAGGAATCTAGCAAGCCTTACAGTGTCAAAAGGCAACAAAAAACATATTTATATAACCCTTCTCATAGCCCCCAGAGTAATGAGACGACTGTGAGGCAGCACATCATTGGCTTAAAATAAGACTGGGAACGAATAAACAGCAAACCTAAAGAGGCAAGAAGTTTTAAGGTTAAGAAACTGGAGGTTTAATTCAGTCCTGTCCTCTATTTATTCCTGTCCTTCTCCTCTCTGCTGCTCAGTAAATGGCCGGTGGGATGTCAGTGCCTGTGGTGCTTCCTTCTTTGAAGACAGATATGCCCCAATGCACCAGCAGCTCCAAGTAATGTTGAAGATGTTAGTCTGGGCTCACTTGTACATACAGAGCAGGATATGCAAGTCTTCCGGGGGAGAGGCTGTAAGGCAGGAGCTGTGAGGGATTTCGACTACGTTGATTCATACGTTTTCAGTCTGGTTATTGGAAGAGAGCTCATGCTTCTCCGAGGAGGAGGAGGACGGGGGCAACGTGTAGATAAAACTGCTATGTTTGCTCACACTCTAAGTGTCAGACCAAAGCTGTGATCTGTAAACCTGTCACGCTGACTGTGAAGAAGGACGGCCACACTTTGTCAGAAGTCCCACGCTTTCCAAATTGATTACAAATTAGATTCTCTCTGGGTCTGCTCAGGGATTCATGTTGTCACAGCTGGATGATAACAGGAGTTAGTGGAAAGTGTTATTAAATTAAACACTGCTTACACAAGGATTCTTCATACAGCACCTGAAATTAGATTTTACTGGATGTGCACTTATTGAATTTTTGATGGCAAATATATTTTCTTACACATTTGCATTGCTGATCCTCCACTACTGCTGCTGTGTTACCAGACCAGACTGAGGCAAATCTTTACTTAGATTGCTTTATCCTAGGGCTGGGCAATATGGCCTCAATTCAGTATCACAATATACTGAGCAGTTAACTTTGATAATGATAGATGGATGATAACTACTCCACAAGCTGCTCACCCCCTCCCACATTAACTTCGCCTACTTCAGCTGCCGCTCCAGCTGCTGCTATTTTTTAACCATCCTCCATCTCCTCACCGGACTGGATGGGGTGGAGTCACGCCTCCGACGTAGGACAACATCTAAATAGGCTTTTATTTATTTATTTATTTGTCTGACATCTAATATATATAGACACGGACAAAACAACGTCGGTTTTTGCCATAAATTTCGGTATCAGTACATTTTTGGTTTATCACCTAGCCCTAATCGAGGTTTTCAAACCTAGATAATATAGCGTGGATAATTTTTTCTGTCATGTCCAACCTCTGATCGTACTGAAACTGGCCTAAAACAATCTGTCCTTTTATTGGCAATAAGGAGGGGAACAGTGTTTATTTTTGACGTGAGACGCACAGCATCATGGGTAAGGTAAGAAAACAGCAGTGCAGGGTTCATTATGCAGCGCCCTTATTAATGTAACAGCTGAATCAATTCCAACATCTGACTCCTACATTAATAAAGAGAAAGAATAATCACACATTGGTTTATAGTTAAGAATTATCCACTGTTTGACTGACGCTGGAAAAAGAAATCTGATTAAATAAAGTCAGTTATTCTCATGTAGAGGATAAAAGTAACCGGAGGGTGTTAATTATGAACGAATGGAGAACACTTTACATGAACCAGATCCATGATGTGATGTCCTCTTTGTGAACCTGGGGCTGTGGCTCAGGTAATGGGTTTGAGGTTTCTGCTGCTCCTTTGGGAGGGAGTGGCGAGATGAAGGGTTGTGGATGCCAAGAGAGAAACTGACAGTGCCGTTCATGCAGACTGATGGAAAACAGATCCTTGATTGTGTTTCCTCTTACTTCAACAGGAGCATCAAGGTCTCCATCTTCACCCCCTGGCTGACTGAAGCTGCCCTGACCATCTGAATCACAACTTATAAACAGCCACTGCTTTTCACACCTGATCGAGGAAGATACTCAGCTTTTGAAAATCCAAATGTCATAGGCATTTCTCAGCTCTGGGCAAAAAAAAGAAGAGGAGACCCAGATAAAAGCCCTATAAAACTGCAGATACCAAAACAGCTCCAGATAGGCTCCTCTCTGCGGGAAATAATCTACAAGGATATGTTTAACTGACCTCCAAGAGGAGACAAGGGTAAAGCCATCAACCCGAAAATGACTTGATTGCAGATTAACAGTGTATCTCTTCCTTATACTTACAAAAATGGCCTCTTCACCTCCAGATACACCTTCACTTAGAGGCTGTTTCATAACTGAGACATGACTGACTCAATAATATCATAAATTAATCACCTCGGTTGGGCTAATTAATAAAGTCTCAGGAGGAACTGTGACGGAAACTCTCTCAGGAGCATTTAGATTGATGATCCACAACCGTGACATTTGGATTTTTTAGATAACACACGCGGCTGAAAGTAGAATATACAAGTTGTGTGCTCTGCTCTTATCCCCAAGGAGGAGGAGGAGGAGGAGGAGGAGGGGTCTCTCTGGATTTGAATAATTAATCAGTTAGATAATTAACATTAGGATGTTATCCTTTATTAGGTGAATTAGAACCTCAGATTATGTGTCGCCATAATGATAAATGAATTTATAAGTACTTTAAAGCTCCTGTGAGGAACTTTTTGAGCCCCCTAATGGACAAAGTAAATACTTAACATGGAAAATATGAGTGGCTCTACTGACGCCTACTTCTTTGCACCAATTTCAGGCATTAAAAATATTAGAAGAAAAGTTTTTGCTAATGTTTTTATTTGCTTTTGAATATCATAAAAGGGCATCAATATGATTTTTAGTCTATTTTATACCTTAATGTAGCTTTAAATAGATGGTGTTTATTACAGTACATGTGATATGTTGTGACACATAAACTGCTTATCCAAAAAATGAAATAAAAAGCTTAAATAAGTCCAAAGACCAACGTCAGAGTCCCATTGGTTTACAATAGAGTGAATTATAATGGATTAGAAGTCAAATAATGAATTTTACATCCTACATTTTCACTTATGTAACTTTTTACTGACAGCTCAGTAAGACAGGATGAACTTCTTCAAAGTTTCAGATTTGATGGAGACCAGCAGAAACCCTCATCTATCGAGAAGGGACCATCCATCCAGGATGGATTTATGGATGGATCCATTTATTCCGATCAAAGTTGAATTTTCTTGTAATCTATTCCCCTCATTTGAGGAGGTGGAAGCTTGAGGGAATTTCACAGCTTACACATTAAACCTTCTTATTCGTCCAGGTAACAACCTCATTAGTCGGCTCTTATGCCCAATCCCGGCCCTCTATTCACCCTGAGGCACCTTCTGTTTGCCACAGGTGAGCATGTAACTGCTCTGTGGCGTGTTCGTGTTCAGAGTGGCTACGGATAATGAGACAGCTCAGTGTGATGCTGCTCCTCTTGCTTAGAAGCGTCTGTGTACGTGTGAACGTGCAGGTGTCTGACACACCAACATCTGGTGCGCTGGTGAGACACTTCACAGCTGTAAAAAATGTGAGAGACAAAGCAAGAGGACACAAAGAAGTGATGTGTTCAAGACGAGACGGACAGAAAGCATCATATAAAGTTAGAAAAAGAGGACTGAAGTTTGCCTCTTCTATCGAGTTCGCTTTAAACCGGCAAAGTACAAAAAATCGATAATGATCAGATTCCATTAGAGGCTTGATTTCAGCAATTCGCCAGCTTTTATCGGGCCTGCCTCTTAAATTGGTGACAAGCAGGGAAATTAGCAGGGAAATTAACACGGCTGCCTTTAAAACCAAAGTGTTTTACTTATGAACTCTTTCCAAAACTTCACAACCTCGTCTAAAGCGAGAGAGTTGTTAGTTGTGCACACCTGCTAAATCATAAATTTGAACATCATTAGAAACAAAGCTTGGAGCAATGACGCTATTCGCTCTATCACAGCCCACGGCTCAGCATAAAAGAGTTTGTTAAAGGTGGCGCTGTGAACACTGTGTGATTTTACCTGATACCCACAATCAGCAGCCGCAGAGCTCAAGAACACCAATCTCCACTTTGGGCCATTTAGAAGGAAACTTCTTAAACTTCTTAAAGCCATTAATGGTTGAATTATGCACAGAGTCACCCTGGATGGTTGCAATTACAAAACAATGTCCCCAAAAGATATTTTAATCCCAAATTATGGGTGGGAACAGAAACACTGAATAATTGGGTGTTGAGAAAAGAAGGTAAGATTTTTATGGTTAGATGAACGATATAATAAATCTAAACCAGCTCCTTGAGTTGCATGATTGTTGCACAACAGTGACACTGTTGTCAATCTTAAACAGCTCACGTCTGAGTAAATGTGTACGTGCGAAAGCCTTTAGAAGTTCTGTGTTGGTCTCAAACTCAGACTGCTCATTTCTCTGCTTCCTGCCAAATAATAGCTGATACTCTCAAAGAACAAACCTTCCTTTCTGTTCTTCCAAACAGAATCTCTCAACACTTTCTCTCCTGGACCTGTTCGAGTGTTTGAGAATTACCAGGCAGGTGTACCATGCTCTCATTTGAGCGACCTACAAAGTTCTGCTGTCAACATCTCTTCACAACTTTGCTTTCCTCTCATCCCCGAGTCTTTGAGAGGGGAATGTGTGTTTCTGCAGAAAAAAACAACACCGAGATACAGTCAAGAGGGCACAAGTGAAGTCTGCGTTGGCTGAAAAGCTTCTAATCCTGAGGAGAACCTTGCTGTACTTCGAGTTTCAAAGAGGATTTCATCTGGATTTGGAGACCTGGGGTTAGAAACTCAGCCGAAAAATAATCAACTGACCACCATACAGAGAAAAACACATTTCAGGCAAAAAACAGGAGAGAAAAAAGGTTTAGTGAAAGAACAACAGCTTTGCCTGCAGGTCAACACAGGCTGAAACAGAGTCTGGAACCTGAGGTCAAGTCTAAGTCTTAATCCACATATTCAAGAAAGCAGTTGAAATAATAGAGATTGTTATTCATTACTTTGTTTTAGACGGCCGACAACTACATTAGATTATACCAAGCCAACTGTGGAGCTGCTTTCAAAGAACTGATGTGACTATACAGCAGAGAGGAGAAGCAGGATAATAAGAGTAAAGTTAATTTCAGATGGAATTTATTCCCTCCACAGATCAGCAACTCAGTCAGTAATTCAGCTGCTCACTAATTACTTATTTTCTGCAACTTTTTCATCCTGACGTTCCCACACAGCAGCACAGATATATCACACCTCGCTGGATCGTTCCAGCAGAGTGCAGATCCAGATAAGACCGCTCTGCCTGATAAAGACCTAAACAGCAGTATAAATCGCATATCAGCGGGGAAATGTGCAGCCAGCATCAACATAAATAACAATAATGGAGGAAGAGGTGCTGACAGTCCTCTGCTGCTTCCTTTTTGCAGAGAGAATGAGGGAGCTGCATTGACAGGGACAAGCAGGAAAGGATGTTGAGGAATATGTGAGTAGTACTATCAGTCAGGGTCCCTGTGCAAACACTCCCTCTCCCGCTCCCTCTCCCCCAGTCCTGTCACTTCCCCCTCCTCTCTCTCCACCTCCATTATTGCTCTCTCATGCCTTACCTCTCTGCCCTGTGTGTTGCCTGTACGGCTCTTTTGTTTGATTGTCGATTTCCGGATGGTTCAGTCTGTGCTCACAGCCTCGGATGCTTTGAGTACTCTGGAGCCCAGCAGCTGTCTGACGTCTGTCTATCAGCAGGGGGGGGATGCATCTGGGTGATTACTGGAGGGAGCTGTAAGGGTGGGTTTGTGCATTATTATGTGATTTACTGATAAAAAAAACAGCCTTGCAAATACATTTTTCTGGCCATATTGTTCGAGTTGAAAATAACTAACACAATCAAAAGACAGTCTGGGAACAGCAGTGCTTTAAATTATTGTTATATATCATAAAGAGAAAAATTAAGATTTTGAAAATAAAATTGTTAAGTTAAAAAAATAAAGTCATTACTGAAGGAAATAAAGTCGTAATAAAGAAATTACTTGTGAAAATAAAGCCGTTGCAAGGTAATTACTTAGACAAATAGAGTCATAATGGAGTGATTACTTATAAGGCTGTTGCAAGGTAACTACTTCCGAGAATAAAGTTGTAAAAAAGTAATGACTTATGAGAATAAAGTCAATATAAAGGAACTACTTACAAAAACAGTCGTGATTAAGTAATTACTTGCAAGAATAAAGTCATAATAAAGTAATTACTTACGAGAATAAAGTCATATTTAAGTAATTACTAATGAGAATAATGTTGTAGCAAGGTAATTATTCAAGAATAGAGTCATAATAATGTAATAACTTACAAAAATAGAGTCGTAATAAAGTTATTACTCAAGAGAATTAAGTCATAGCAAAGTAATTACTTACGAGAATAAAGTCGGTATTAAGGAATCCTAAAGTCATAACAAAGTAATTACTTATGAGAATAACGTCGTAGCAAGGTAATTATTCAAGAAAAAAGTTGTTATAAAGGAATTACTTACGAGAACAGAGTCATAATACAGTAATTAATGAAGAGAATAAAGTCGTAGCAAGGTAACTACTTACGAGAACAAAGTTGCAAATAAATAATTACTTGAGAAATTAGTAGCAAAGTTATTACTTACAAGAGTACTTAAAAGAATACTTCATTACTTACAAGAATAAAGTCTTTTTTTTTTTACTTAATGTGGCCCTAATACTCTGTTGTAGGTGACAGAAACTGAGTTATTTCTATTCTTATGACAGTTGTGATGATTTTTGAGACAGTTATGCAAAATTTAAGGCGTGCAAAAGTATGTGTGTAGAAATCTCAGCCATACATCAAACTCTTGGACCTTTTTAAGGAAAGTAATGAGGCATCCCGAGTTGTTTACTGCACGGGAGGACGGAGGCTTATTCAAATGCTGCAGGGCTCACACATGCAAACAGACTTGTTAAAGGACTCAAGTTATACTATTCCTCACTCTGCAGGAGAGAACACGTCAGTCCCGGTAAATGTTTGTGAAACCCAATTTGCAGTTCATGCAGGAGGTGGTTTATGCAGAGGGGAGACACACCACCAATACACACACACACACACGATCAGGGAGAAAGAGAGGCAAACAGGGAGATTACAGAGAGAGAGAGTGATGGAGTGAATCAGCGGGTTGATCGTGAAATGCTCCCAACTGGCTCACTTAAATCATCACCGTCCAAGTTTTACAGGAAGCTCTAAACCCGTCCATAATCTGTTGGCTCACTGGCTGTCAGACGCAGGATCATCTACACACTAACAGTCCGTCTGTCTGTCTGTGTCGGCGCTATAAGAGGATGGAAAAACTATGCAGGAACATTCGCACATACACACAGAATAACCTCCTGGCTCATTATCGTTCATACATGTTTGTGCGGACCCGTTTCAGGTCAGGTTTAATTGAGATGAGGTCAGGAT